ACTTGTTCTATTGTAAAGACAAAGTAATAATATTTATATAGTTTTTGGTCAACGATAATAATTATAATTTTAACGGTAAAAATTATAAATTAAAAATTATAGTAACTTTCTCATTGTTGACGAGAAAAAATGTTGCGAAAGATATTTTGGTTCAAATAGGAAAATTATACTTTTTAAATGATCATCAAACGAATGATATAATAAAAATTGCATAATTCATAATATATTATTCAAGCAATTAATAATGCAGACATTTCTGGATTTAATTCTTTGAAATTAAATATCAATCTGTTAATTAATTCAAATTACGATAAATATAATGAATGAAATACGACTCGTTTTACATTCTATTCACATCGTAATGCAAATTCGTTCTGTTTCATACTATTGAAGCAGAAATATAATTTTAATCGCCAAACTTTATGTATATAATTATTAAAAGGGAAAGTGCAAGATGCAAATAAATTTATCTTTAAACAACAGACGAAAATAAACATCCATTTAAGTCTATACCTATATATAATTTTATTAGACACATAATTCCAAATTATAGTGTCACGTTATCAGAACTACTTATCCAACTTGGAACTCAAAATCTACAAGAAAGAGATTACGTTTTACAGAATAGAAATCAAAGCGAGCTGTATACTTCTTAATTCTGAGAAGTCTGTATGTAAATATGCTATATATATATTTATACAGCATCGAAATCATAACGTATGTAAATGGACGTCCTGTATCATGATTTTCGCAGTTGGAGCAATTGGAGTACACAAGGGCTGCATTGCAGGTTATTCATTGTACTCTTTGTTTAAAATACTTTGTTGTTTTTCTCGATGAGCTACATTTCTTTCACGCGTATATTTTAAAACAAACAGTTCACTTGTGTATAAATCTTTGCTCAGTTTCGTATATTCTACTTATATATTAACTAATAACATATTATACGAAACGACAAAATATACTTTTGCAAACAAAATGTTAATTCGTCAATTAATCACTGACCAGATTAGTCAATAAGTTAATCATTAATCACGACATAACCCCTATTTGCCATTTAGAACAAGACATACTGCCAAAAGTTACTAGCTCTTCGCGTTTTTATGAAAACTAAATTTCAACTTCAAACGAATGAAAATTACCATCGACTTGATAAAGTATAGTAACTAAGCAGCGGATTTTTATTCATTTATGGAGGCGTTAGAAATGCGTGTAATATGTATCGATATATACATAAAGTAGCTAAAAGATAATATTATATTATGTTACATGTAGAAGAGTTGTGCATCCAAGTTACATTTTCTAAATTATCTTTGTAAAGATATGACTTCGTATGAATATTCGTAGTCTAGCAATAACGTTGCAAAAACATGATAGAAAACGAGATGCGTTGCTAATAGAGACAGAAAGGTAGAAATGCAATATCGAGATGTAATACTCACCCAAAACATCACGTTAAATCCAAAGATCACATACTTGAGACAGCAGCTCACTTCACTGGTATCCCTTCTATACTTCCGCACAGCAGGCATGGCTAAGACACATTTATCTATCGCTTTTGCGAATTTCACGCACACATGCACACAACACAGCCGCAAAAACGCAAGCCACTATTCACACAACACAAAAGAGCACCGGTGCCCTAGAGGCAGAGCAAATCACAAGCGCAATGACATAGCCGAAAATCCAATTCCCTTCTTCTCTTGACTTTTTGTCTTCGAATTATCTCGCAGAGCTTCGATACCTCGATTCCGTCTCGAATCCTCGTTCTATTATTTATCGCGCGTATTTTCTCGATTTTGCTCTTTCCGTTGGGCTCGCTTGATCAGCTGATCACAATAACGTACCGTTTCGTAATTACGACTACCGCCATTGTCACGTCACGGTACATACTACCCGAGGCTGGATCAACGAGACTGCAAGCAGCTCAGACTTTCCACTCGTCCCTCCGACTCTCCCACCCAACTAAATCTCATTCGCTTGCCCCTCCAACGCTCGATCCTCCACCCTTCGATGCTCCCCACCTTACCACCTCCCGCGTACCAACTATGCTACTCTTTGGCCCAATGCACACGAGCGACACGGCAGGTATACGATGCCGCAGCGATATAGCAACTTTGTGCGATTCGACCATAAAGAGTAACAGAGTGCATAAACAAGATGAAAAAGTGATACAAAGATAGAAAGAGAACGCTGAGTAGAGGTCCTTGTATCCTTGTTTAATAACGCATGTATATTCGTATAGTAAATATGTAAGCATAACACCAACGAGCGGTGTCAGTATGCACGTCTAATCAGACAAGGGCGAAAAGGGCTTCTGTTTTGTTTCTATCGTTATATCGTATTAGTTGTATCCACTTACACGGTACATGTGACTCGCACACTTTATTCTTATATCTCTATGGGTTTGGCGGCTACGTATATGTTTTTAAGACTCGTTGCAGACAACCAACTTCTGTACGACACGGTTCTGCTGTCGTTGGAAAAACATAGAAATAAAGATCTTCTGTCTCACAAAAGAAGAATACATATATATGTACTTCCTTGTTCTTCTAACCCGTTGCCATTGCGACGATTTGCCGTAAACTGCTCGTCTGCATCGGACATAATCGTGCAATGCATACGAGCGATATTGCATCGCACGTCTATAATTTACAACAATCGCACAACGACACTGTTACGGCAACGTGTCGCTGCCGCGTCGTTCGTGTGCATCGGGTCTTTATTATTTTATGTTCCTCCTTTTTTGTTTTTGCCCTCGATTATCATCGACGCGATTCCTTTTCTCTCCCTTCAGTATCTTTTCCTACAAAACTATTTTTTAAATATCTGTAACCATGTATATATATCGTTATATATCATAACATTTAATACAGGAATGAATTTCGATCTTTTTTTTAATATGCGAGATATCAATTTAATAATTCCTGCAAATATAAGAAAATGTAAAATGTTGCTAATGTTATATATGTATAATTATATGTATGATTATATATATATTATACAATACTTATCTATTATACTGCATAAGTGTACATATATTATATATGTGTTCGTATATAATTTAGTTTATACTAGACTATTCTTAATTTCTTACTTCATTCAAACTTTTCACAGGTTATTATCTTATTTACTGTGGCTTGTATTTTATATCAAGTATAATTATATAACAAATTTTGTCATAGTTGTTACATTCATATTAGAATTTGAAAAATATTCTTCCTCTATAAAAATTATTTCTTTATCCATTTATTTTACAACAATAAGTTTATATATAATGAATTTCTTTTCTTCGATGCCAATTTAACGTCTGTTCCAGCATGTTTGTATTCAATTTCGTTGTAAGTAATTATTACTATTATTAATAATAGTAGTGTCGTATATTGTACCTTTTATTTAATATATTAAAAGAAATTCTCGTTGTGACAGAATACGCAACGCTAGCCTTCAGTTTAATGATTATTTGTTTCTTTCTTCTACGAGAGATGACAAGCGAATTCTTTGTCAACATAGTATTTACTGTCTATAATTATAAACATAAAACTTATGTTTACTTATGCGACTTGCGGAAATTATTCATGATTATTGGGTGTAATTAAGTGCCATCGATGTTTACAAACAGTACTTTAATTATGATAAGCAACAATAGTTATTTTTCATTTTTCAAATTTTTAGAAGCTAATACGTGTATACACAACGTATATAACATATACACAAAATTATATTAGTAGATGTAAGTTTAAAAAGTAAGGGGAATCATCTTTTTAAATGTTTATTCCAAAACCACGAATGTGTATCACATATAAAATTATATAATTTATTGATGTGATGATTGATTAATGTTGATAAAAAAATATTGATGCCTACTAACAATATTTAAGCTTAAAGTATTATATTATCTACTTTTTTCACACAATCGTATAAACTCGGCTTTATGTATATCAATATCGATATGTATATATGTATATTAGGAGCTTTGACATTGCCTGTAGATATGTACATAAATCGCAAAATACGTATTAGCATCTAGCGATCTAGCGATCGTTCCGGAATTTTTCTGATAACTGATGTCATCATATTGAATGATACGCAGTAAAAATTGTAAAAACGTGTGGGAAGTTGTACAAAACGAGAAAATTGGTTAATTGGGGTTCGATAAACAGGTTACAGGACCCTTTTACATTTTGACAAGTATCAGTCATTTCGACTGGTATTGGTATAAGTAGCCTTGATACAAAATTATTTCGAGTTTGAATACATAACAAACAAAATAAAATTCATTATATTATTCTTTTAGTTATCACTGCGAAAGTCATTACATCATTGCGGAAAAAAATATAACATGAAGTAGGAATTTTAAAATAAAATTGTAAAACCAGTCGTTTTGACTAGTGTGGTAGTTCTAGTGTTAAAATACTGTGAGTTTAGTTATTAGCGACCATGGTAAATTTTCGTTAAAGTCACGTACGATCCTTGAAAAGTGTTCTGTTTACAGATACTTGATCTTGATTACTTTGCATTTAACAATAAAATGGTCATAAATTTCATCGAGGGTGTCTTTTCGTTTTGTTTCTACATTATGAAACAACCACGAAGCGATTCTACCACCCTGAGAGATGGAAGACGAAATCTAGGAGAAAATTTTAGATCAATGGAGTGAAACTTATCTTACTATTGGACTGTGAAAATCTAAGGAAAAGGCCTCGGATTAGGTAAGAAAGATGCATAGAGCTGAAGAAAAAAAAGAAACTTTTCAAATTAAACAATAATATCTCGAATCAATGACTTTTATGACAAAAGTTATTTTTACCCTCGAATAGCTCTTTTCAATCTCTCGCGCCTTTTATTGAGCGAGATAAATTGGAGTTTCATGGATGCCAGCCCATGTAAAATCAATTTTTAAATAATCACTAAGTAAGTAACATTCTTAATTTTAATTAATTATTACCAAGTAAGTAACATTTTTAATTTAATTTAATTTCATTCTAATTTTCACTTTTTTTATTTATACAGTTGAAGGTCTAAATGTATCTTGAGAGTTTGAAACTACTGCCACGAATTCAAATTGTTAAATTCAGTGTTCAATGTATTAAATGTTACCAAATTTGAAATATAATATAAATATAATTTTTGTTTAATTATCACACAGATAGTTAAAAATAATGAGTTTAATACCATATCTACGATCTGTATGTACACATTTATATGTGGTGCATGAAATACATATGTAACATAACCCTATTCTTAAACTAAATTAGAAATGAAATATTTTTTTCAGATATTAATTAATCAAAATAATGTTGCGAAAAGATATTTACATGTCAGCACAGTACTTCATAAAGTACAAGCTGGACGTTATAGACCAAAACCAAAGGTAATGCAACCATTGACATATGAAATGGCATATCCACCACATGAAATTGCTTCTAAAAAGTCATGGAACTCATGGAATACATGTAGGCATATTTTATAATTTGTTTTACTAATAAAACAACTTTTAATGGTAATATTAAATTAAAATTATATACAAAATTTAAAATTTGTTTTAGTTTTATATTATGTTCATTCAACTTTTTATATATTTACACGTTATTTGAATATATATGAATTGTTAAATGTATTTTTTTTTTAGCAAATGTAAAGGATGGTAATAGGCCATCAGAAACTACCATAGAAGATTTGTTTATTCGAAATTTTGTAGAAGGAACTTGGCATGGATTGATTGCAAGCGAGATAATTATTAAACGTCAACACAATATCATAAGGATCGCTGGCATTGTTATGCGCAAAGTAACACCCATTAAAATGCACTTTTTACTTGGTTATACTGAAGAACTTTTGAGCTATTGGTTACATTGTCCAGTAAAGATGGAAATATTAACAGTAAATGACAAAGATGACGTTGTATATAAAATTATTTAACATGTTCATAGGTCCTAATTATTCTGATATATAGATCTAAGAACTGTGAAGATGTTAATTGTAGCATAATTGTTATAATTAAGCTATAGTTGTTAAAATTACATTGCATAAATAAAAGTAAATTTACAATTACATGTATTCATTACATGTACTACTATTAACTCATGTATTTTACTGCACAACCTTTTAAATTAAATATGTCTACACATAACATTGCAATTAATATACTTATATATAAGGTTAAAACATATGGAAATAAAGTAACAAATATTGTAGAATATATATAATATATTGAAATTTGTACAAATACTAGGTTCGATTCTACATTACAATTATGCTATCATTTTATCAAGTTATACATTTAATTTTATTCTTTGATTCTTTTATTAGTATATGAAAAATAAATCAGTATAGAAATATATTTGCAAGTTCTCTTAAAAAGATTTATGTACTGATTTATTTCTTAATTCATTTATAAATGTCTTTTTTCTCATTTCTATAAAATATTACTTTAATTGAAAAAAATAGTGATGGGTGTATATATCATCTAACATAAATATTCTCTCATAAATTTGTCTAAAGCATACTATATATAATATATAAGTCATATCATATTTTGTAGAATTATAATAAGTAGTAATTTCAGGCTTGTCACTATTTTTAATATGTGAAATATGTTATAAGATACAAGACAATACATAAAAAAATAATTTAACATAAAATATAAAAAGAAACAAATAAACGTCACTTATGGCGACGTGAGGTACAATTTTTATCCGGCCATACCGTAAACTGTGCAACCAGGGCTCTATAAAATATGTAATAAAAGTAAACCAACAATGTTTTAAAAAATAAGGTCTATATGTTACACTTGGAATGTTAATATTTGAAGGGGGGGGGGGTACATTACAAGGTCATTAACTTTTATAGGTCTTACCAGCTGCATATTACCCCTTATATAAATTTGTGAGGAATTTGATTCAAATCAGAATATTGACTAAAATCTAAAAGAATCTAATTACTAAAAAGATGCTGATGATGTATCAGCAAGAATTAGTTACACTTGATAAAAGTGATATAGCTAGGGCTGTACGTATTTCGTATCTACGTAACTTGCGCCAGATTTTTGTAATCAATTTCTACTATCATTCGTAATTGAACGATGAACTATAACATTGGAACTTCCAGAATATAACTTAGATATGACTCATATCCACTCTCCTTCACAAGGAGGCAAATCTTGTTAGATATAGCGCAAAGAGAGAACTTGGTTCCTTGTAAGTTACAAGTTGTAATCTTCAATGCATCCCTAATTACTTGTTACGGTCATCGAAAACTGTAAACTTTAACTACTGCCCTAACAGTGGCTAACAGCGGGTGAACCGCATTACTTCGATGTCTTGGGTTACTCAATTACATTGGTTACACTATGACGCTGTACTGCGTTTTATTAGTAATCAATTAATTTATTCACCCGAGCCGTAAGCATCAAGCGGCATGAATACATATTACATATATGGTTAAGTTTTAGTCCGAGATTTCATTGTATCAATACATAGACATAGATATATAAAAAGCTCATATAAAAAGAAGACTTGTTTATATAAATATAATATAACCTTATACCTGAGTCAAAGTAAAAATTATTTTTTCCCAAATATTAAGCAATGACTTGTAAAGTATTTATATATGTCATATGTAAATCAAACCATTGATATATTAAATAGGGAATATTTTTTATTATATTATTAGCGAATACATGGAAGATACGTACGCGTATTTTCAATTTTGAAGTAATTTTAATTTATTTTATTGACAAAAGTATGTTTAACTTTGGAATCCTCTATAATAATAATCTTCTTTATATAAAAGTAAAAATCTGATATAGTTTAAATTTCTTAATTTGTAGTTCTTTACTCTTTAAGTTTAATTATTTATTTTTAAGCACATTATTTAAATATACACGGTGCATTAAAAATAGGCGATCAAAGTTTGATATTGTATTCTGCTCTTCCTAAAAATATGAAAAAGTGGTATAAACGTGAGATTAAAAATCTAGTTCATAGATTTGGATTTCACCAGAGTGATTATTACGTTTGTAAAATATTTAAACAGAGATCGATTTACTATAATACATGTTAATCTATTCAAGAGCAGAAATAATATCATTACTTGCGACTACTTAATTTGAATGTTTATTAGAAAAAGTAAAATATGATACCAAAGTTTGGTCATCTATTTAAATTACACTCCGATTACGAATGCATATTTACTACGAAGTGTATATTTATTTTATTTAACAAATGATAATAATGAAAGATGATATATCAAAGATGATAATAAGTCACTGAAAATTATTGTAGATTTTTATTATTCAAAATTATATGTAAGGAAGTTGGTTTGTAACCGCTTATATTCAATTTAGAAATGTAAAAATAAACATAAAATAATTAAAATAGCCGATATTTTTTTGTATGAAATATCAGCTACTAAAGTTTACTTTTTGATTATATTTACCTTTAACCAATTAGTTACATTGTTCAGTTAAAATGAAACTAATAGTAACAGTATAAAACAAAACTGATGTTATATATGTATATGTATAAGTAATATAATTTATCCTTGACATGTGACTGACTTTAATGTTAGCTATGATTATCATAAAAATTATATTGTATAAAAATAAACATAAATCTATGATATATGTACTATTAATTTACTACAATATGCATTCTTTTACTATACAACTTTTAACATTAAATATATTCTAAATACAACTTTAAAAGTATCATATTTTGATATAATTCAATAGTGTTTTTTCCCATATAATTTTGACAAATTTTATATAGAACAAAAAAGTTCATATATAATTTTATTCCATATAATAATAAGCATGTAATTATTTTATTTTCTGAATATTTTTAATTTATTTTATGTTAGTTAATAAACTGTTACATTCAATCATGACTCAAACGCAGCCCATATACAATCATTGCATTTTCAATAAAAAGTAAATTACATATTATTTTAAGATAGGTATTTAAATAAAAAGATATTTAAGTGCAAACTGACAGAGCATTCAAACTTTTATATATTCTACTAGACACATTCTCTCCTCTAGTATGTCTTTACAACTCTTTTCTTCCATTATTCAATCAGGATCGTGTTGCTACATATTTGTACTTTCAATAGATCTTTGAGTATTTATATAGGTATATAGTAATGAGGAATCATCATTAACTAATTAAGTGAAAAAATTAAAATTACAATTATAGTTGGCAATAAATTTATAATATGTTTATATGAAGAATTATTATGATGAGACATTCTTATATAAAATTGTGAATAGAATTTACAAATTTATGATTATGCAGTATATCGTACATGACATATTTTAAGTAAAAATGACATCGCTTTAAAAATATATTTTTAGAAGATATTTAATCATTAAAAATTCATTGATTAAAAAATTGATATTTAAAAAATTTTGTGTAACCATATATTATAATAATTATATCATATGTTTTTAAAGAATTTTATTCTTTCAGTGAGTAAATTATTTGCTTAAATTAATATTTTTTACCTTTAGAGACAAAACAAAGACTCTAATAAAATAAGTCTTGATTCCAACATTTCCAATATAGCAGGTAAAAAATTTCCAAAAGCGTACACGAAATCTGATTGAATTTACAATATTAACACTGAAATGTAATTATTCTTATGATGGACGCAAGAATTATGTTCCAATGTTTATAATTTGTTATCGTGTTCTTATAAAAGTACAGACTGAAATGTGCTGTGCTTGTCTTATTGTACTCTAATATAATTCTATTCTTATTTATGGAAGTCAAAAATCGACACTATCACGCAATATTATATAGAATATAATTAACATTGCACTTTGTTCAAGTAAATAAATCACATACACGAGGCAATACGAAATGAAATTATAGAATAATTTATATCAAATTATCTTTGGGATTATGTTAAAAAAATTATGTCGTATTTTGCATTAGTTCTATTATTGTATTATTTCTACTTAATATAAGATCGTTTGCAGAAACATAATATATAAAAATGGCTATATACTGCAAATTATAATTGTAGTATATTGATTTTAATAAGCCATATTTTTTTCAAACCAGATAATTATAAAATATTTGTTCAATATTAAGATATTAGTAAGAATTCTAGTATCACGTGCGACAAACTAAAAAAAGTAATATTTTTATGAATAAATAATTATTATAAAGTGTCTTGTATTAAAAATGGTTCTTTTGGTGTCGTTTGTTATATTGTACCATATAACTGCTAAATGCAAATATATTTTTAAATATTATGTTACATATATGTACGTATATATTAATAAATAAGTATATTATATACTACATTCTGATAAATTATTATTATTAAACACTATTACAGTGTGGTAATTTCAAATCTATATGTTTTGTTATATTGTTGGACTTAATTTAAAAGCAATATTATTCTATTAACATTGCGCGTATAGTGTCATTTTGTATTTATGTATATATACTTATATTACGTAGTATGCCCAAAATTACAGAGTACAGAAAGGTAAAGGCATTGACTACATACGTTTGATCAAACTGTTAAAGATGTACCAAACATTTCAAACAAAACATTGTGTTCACATCATACAAGACTGATAACTAATATATTTTTAATCACATAAAAATGTTTATTATTACTAGTTAATTAAAACTAATGTTGAATCTTCTACATATTGTATGGAGGAGCTCAGAAGATTGAAAATTAACATATTTAAAAAATTCCATAACTATTTTTAAACTCATTTATGAATTTAATAAGATAAAATTGTAAATATGCAAATTATATGCAAGAAATATTTTTAAATTCATAATTGAAATCATATTATATCAGTTCGATGAATTCTCATATTGTCAATATTTTATATCATTTTATTATTCAGCGTCATTCCAGTTAATTCTACACATTTATAACAATTTAGTACATTTTTGTTTTTGTTATAAAATTTAGTGGGTTTCACAAAGAAATAATCTATGATTTCTAGTGAAATTTTGTTCTAATATAAGTACTAATTAAGGTATTAAATATTATATTCAAAAATATAATATTTCACAATAAAA